GTGTTCAAATTTTGGATCATAAATGTAAATGATAGATTAGTTCAAAATAATTACTAAAAGAAAAAACTTCTCAATTGAGAAGCCTGTGTTGTAACTTGAAGTGAAAATCAATAAACCACCGTCTTTTTCACCAGCTGACTGCAATGCTGTCACCATCCTCAATAGAATAGTAAGATAAATCTTGCATGTCTTTTTCAAGCAGAACGTCTACATCTGGAGCCTGCAGGAGTACAATTAGATACTGTTAATCAACTTGCTTCACTTATGAAATGGTGCACCTCACATCAGATTCAAAAAGCTCACAGCAATTTTCAGGCAGTAATATAAACACAAACCTTGGCACTTATGGCTCGTAAAGAAGGCACTGATCCCTCAGTATTTATAAGCTTTTGAACTAAACCAGACAACTTCTGCACTGTCATATTTTTAGGTACTCGCTTTTGGAATACTTGAATATCAGGGCAATTGGGGCAAAAGATTTTAATATTGATGAGACGCGACTTTAGAGAAGTTGGTATATTTGGAAAGTCATCTGCTGTTAAAGTACCATGACCTATATGATGAGAAAAGAAATAATAATTCTTGGAATGCTACAGACATAACAATCTGATAAATTTAAATGTATAGGTACTCACTTTCGATAAGTTCTGAAAAACGAGGATGTTGACTATAAAAGTCTCGTAACAAGACTGAGTCATTAATGGCAAGTAACCATTCACGTCCATGACGTTTCATATAGTCAAATTCTGATGCCTTCCTTTCCTGAGGAGTTATGACTGTAAGATTTAATTTCTGAAAATCAGTAATAAAAACCATAAGTACTTGGAGACGACCATTACAAATTGTGCCAACTACTAATATCTTAAACAAGAAACAAATGGCTTAATTCATTTTTAAAAATCAACACAATTGCATACCTTTAAGCTCTTGACTCTGGCCACAACTGTATCAAAAGATTTTGGTGTTTCCATTATAGGATTCAAATGCAAGAGAAGGTTTTCCAACAAAATCAGCTTATTCAGTTCATTCACAGAGTTCCACTGGGTAGGGCAAAAAAGGTAAGTATGTTAATATTTGATTACTTCTCATGAGTGTAACTAAAAATTTGTGTTCCTTACATCATTAATTTCATTGTTAGGTAGATTAAGAATTTTAAGAGAAGGAAAAAGGCTTGTATGGACTTCACCAGGGAAAAAAATATTTGTGAGGCCTGTTCCTCCGAGGTGCAGTAACTGCAAGCTAGGCAGAAAAACATACCAAAAACAATTTCAGCAAAGTATTTAAGCGAGTATTTAAATTAATATATGTAGACCGATAGTTAAAATTACCTTTGGAGGTTACCAAGTTTGTTCACATTATCCCAATACTTAATAGGGTTATCTTGCAAGTATAATGATGTCAGGTTTGAGAGGACACAAATGGGTGGACTGCTGAGTTTATGTATTTTATTACTTTGAGCCTATTAAAGGAAGAAATCAGTAAAATCAGGACTTTTGTCTTATATGAATCAGAATGTTTATAATGTAACTTAATACTTACAGACAATGTGATCACAGAAAGCCACATTTTAGAACAAATGAGGACCTCATCCCAATCATATTCAAGATTATTAATGATAATATGACTGAGAGGTTTGAATGCTTCTGCAAACTCCTCCAGCTTTTCTTCACTTGGAACAGGGATTTTGTTGTCCCTGAAAACAAGAATAAATGGTGTTTGGGAAATTAAAAAAAAATTATCTTTAAACAGAGGAGACCAAAGTACTCATAATACATGTAGGACTTCATAAACTGAGTTTCATGGCTGTAGACTTTGTACTTACGAAACATCCAGTAAGGCAAGATTTTTGAGCTGTCCAGTGATATCACACACAGTTTCCCAGCTGGAGAGTAGTGTTTTTGATATAATTAATTCAGTGACTAATGGGCAAACTGAAACAAGTTCGTTTTTTTCACCTGCCCCATTAACTGGTTCACCTCTTAGATGAACAACTCGGAGATTAGCGAATTGGCTGGAAATATTTTCAAACATTAGGGTAGCAAAAAACAGAAATGTATTAGGCATTTATTCACTTACTTGACTTCTTATTACCTTTGCTGTGAGTTAACTTTTTCAAAACCCACCATTTCAATAAAAGGAATGTTAAATTCCCTTTTCAGGTCTGCTATTACACTTTTGTCTACTCCAGCCATTGGACCCTCGACTTTCCCATATCGACGACAGGTGGCCTCAACACATGAGATCCCAAAGTTCAATTTGGCCGGGCGAACAAAAGATCCTGACATGGGATGCCTAATGAAAATACATACGAGTTAAGAACTGATTTAAAAACATAATGATACACATTGTTAACAAATATACTGACCGTGTTTTGAAATATGATACTCCATTATGTGATCCATCATGTTTTCCACGAGCAGAATCGTCCCATTCAACTCCAATCCAAGAACCTGGAAGTTCTGCTAATTCGCCGACAAAGCGGACTGTACCATAATATCCTTGGTACTCTACTCGTTGCCCTAATTTCTTTTCTAATTGGTCACCAGCTGCACACATAGCTAAAATATAAACAAGGGAAAAAATCAGAATAAGTGAAATAAATTCCAAAATTTCAACAAAACATCATTTTTTCAGTGCGCTTTGATGCTGTGCAGACGTGTTTCAAATTAGAAGGTGGTAATTGACACAAATTTGAAATCAAGAAGCAGAAAACAACAAATACCGGAGTATAAATATCTGCAACGTCTAGGTTAGGGCATCGAAAACATCCTCACATAGACGTCTAAAAGTGTTTGATGTCAAGAGCAAAGCCTGTCAAGCTGAAGGGAATTAAAAAATTTCAATAGTAACTCACTCTTTCAGAATGGCAAGACCGGACAGTGCACAAAACTTTACACTGTTGATGTTGTCAAGTGGCAAAAGTATGACAGTAAGGTAACAACAACGACAACGCGTGAGTGGGGAGGGGGCGGGGCTCT